AATTATAACAAATTTCTAAAAAAAAATGATAATTTTCAAATTATTTTCATTGTAATAATAGAATAAAATTGATACATTTCAAGTCATAAATTAATTAATTGTTAATTATGATTGCATTGAATTTGAAGGTTCTTTTTGCATTCATCAAAACTTTCGTTTTTTTTCTTGTATAAATACAAAAAAATGTGATTACAAAGATAAATAAATTACATATATGTAACTTTTTTTTTTGAGTAATAAACTCGACTCGACTCGCTCAATGTGATTACAATATCGGCATTTCGATTTGCCAATGCCGAATGTTGTTGTATCATTAAATCGCATTGCAAGGCGTTATGATAATAGAAATTCTATAATGTTCGACGCATATAAATTGAACGATTATAACTTTTTCGGGAATAACGCAAATCATTTATTGAATTGCAAAAAGAAATATGAGTAAATTTGTATAGTTTAAAAAAAAATGTACTTGAAAAATTTAAAGTGCTTTTAACGTTGATGAGAGTAAACGAAAATAGATTGGAGGGTGGAAGAGAGTAGATGATAAAGGATGAGAGTAGACTAGAGTAGAAGAAAATAAAAGATAGTAAAATATTGTAGAAGAAAGAGTAAAAGAGAGCAGAGAGTATAGCAGAGTAAATGAGAGAGAGAATTTGATAATATCAAAATCATAAACAAAATGATTTAAATAGAAATTGTCATCATAATAATGAAAATTAAATAAGTTCCAAACAAAAACAATATAATATGTTCATTGATAAAGTGTATTAATTTGTTTTTGTGTAACTTGTTGTATTAAGTCAAGTAAATAAACTAGTATAAATTTAGATACTTCACACTACATAATGATCCAATTAAAATTGACATAACCTCAATAGAAACAAAATGACAGTTAAACAAAGTAGTAACGTTTCTTTTATGTCAATTTCAATATTTCAACTATAATCATCCAAAGTATATAAGATTTTCCAAAAATATTCATTCTAAAACTTATTGTTATTTAATAATTATTATGTAATATTAATTAAGAGTATTTTTATCAATATTTTTGTTTTTAAATATTTTTTTTTAATATTTTCTTAATTATGAATTTTTTTAAAAACTGTCTGCTAATATTCATAGTTGATATGTTGAACTTTTTGTGGTAATACATAATAAATAGGGTTTTGGGATTTCTAAATAAAAAAAGCGATTGGTTATTGCGAAATTTTTGAATTCATTTAATTTACTATCTAAATAATTACAGAGAAAAAAATTGTCCAGCTATCTGAGTCGTATTAGTGAATATCACTATAGACTCGAAACTCTGGACGTTTACAGCCTTTTTTTCTAACAGAACCTATTGATCGTTTGAGTGTATTTTCTTAATAGTGGTAAGAGTGAGCGGCGGCTTTGGCGTGAGCTGCGAAGTGAGCGGCCTTGGCGTGTTGTACTTCTGGGGTCTCCACTGGGACACCGTTGGCGATGACTGGGACATGGTAGGCAACTGGAGATACTACACCAGTGTATCCTTGAACGTATTGACCGTTGATGGCCTTGGCGTGAGCAGCGAAGTGAGCGGCTTTGGCGTGTTGTACTTCTGGGGTTTCTACTGGGACACCGTTGGCGATGACTGGGACGTGGTGAGCTACACCAGTGTATCCAACGAAATCGTGAGCGTAGTAGCCGTTGCGAGCGTGGGCTTCGGCTTTGGCGGCGAAGTGGGCGGCCTTAGCGTGTTGCACTTCCAAGGTATCGACTGGGACGCCGTTGGCGATGACTGGGACTTCGTGGGACACCAAGGAGTGAGCTACGAATGGAGCTACGACGCCGTTAAGGGCCTTGGCTTCAGCGTGAGCGGCGAAATGAGCGGCTTTAGCGTGTTGAACTTCCGGGGTTTCGACTGGGACACCGTTGGCGATGACTGGGACGTGTTGTGGGACGGCGGTCCATGGAGCGTAAGCGTAGATTCCACGACGTTTACGGTAGTGTACAGCATGAGCGTTACGAGCCAAAGCCTCGGCGTGAGCAGCGAAATGGTTGATCTTAGCGGCAGCTACCTCAGCGGTATCAAGAGGAAGACCATCGTGGGACACCACAGCTGGGACAGCGTAATGAGCGGCATAAGTAGCTACAACTGGAGCAGCAACAACACCATGAACCAAATCACCGTTCCTAAGTTGAGCGTTCAACTTGTGCACGGAATGCTCAGCCCTAGCTTGTTGGACTTCGGCGGTATCAACTGGGACACCATCAGCTCCGATAACAGCCAGATGTTGAGCACCGACAACTTGAAGATGATGAGCTCCGTACACCAAAGGACTTACGTATCCGGCGGATACAGCGGCCAAAGCGCAAGCAAATACAACCTAAAAGAAAAAAAAACCCTAATTAACAACACTAAATCAACTATTGATTACACAAGAAAACTTACGAAGAATTTCATTTCGATTACTGTTTAAACCTCCTTGAAAGGACTGTTAAGACTGTGCTGATATCGATTTCGCAGTTCGCTTTTATACTCGACCGAAATCGTTAAATCAGAAAAAAAAATCTTCGCCAGAAATTCCTTCGAAAACAACGCAAGACCTTATTATAAAAAAAAATATAATAAGTAATCAACGTCCCAAGTTCAATGGTACCTTTCACTCTAGAACCGATACATCAAAAAGGAGTGCAGACCATGAATTCGTAAATTTATGCGTACGAAATTAATTCAATTTACACACCTTATTATCATACTACACATTATGTTTTTTCATTAAGTAAATTAAGATAATGAAAACTAGTTTTTTTTTTAATCATATACTAATAAAGAAGTGACGAAGGACGTCGGAGACAAGACACGATCACGTAAATGAAGAACCTTGTGGTCGTTGGACAATTTAGACTTTTAAGAAAGATTAACTAAAATAGTAAATTAATTATCAAATAAAAATTAGTTAATTAAGATACAAATAGCTTTAAAATTACGAATTGAACAAATTTGTGGTCCATTGACTATTTATAGAAGAGAAAAACTATTGTTAATTCTGACATTAATAACACTTTTCATTTTCATTCGTAGTGAAAGCTAATACAGTTTATTGAATGAAAAATATTCAATATTTAGTAAATAATATAAATATTTAATTCTACACAAAAATGATAATTTTCTATCATTTAAAAACAATAAAATAGTTCAACAATTAGAAACTAAAACGTTACAACAATAATAGTTTGTAATAATTATAGAAGAATGGAAATAATTGTATAATACATTAAAAGAAAACAAGTAAAACTGTAATAAAATTATAAGAAAAATGAGAAAAAAGAATAAAACAAAACAAATTTAAATATAATCGAATAATTTCTGTTAAAACCAAGTAATAAGTAATGAAATTAAGTTATAATTAAAAATGTAGAAGAAAAATTCGAAATAAAATCTTATTTAAAAACAATTATGTACATGTTTAATCAGAATCTTAACTTAACGTTTTCCAGAATTATAACAAATTTAATTATAAAATTAGGATCAAGTAGGAAGTGATAAATGTTTAGTTCGTATTTACGTCACATCAATATCAATGTATTTTTATTCCAAGTGTCAGATATACAGATATGGATGTAGATTAGAAACGTTTAATTAAGGTGTGGTTTTTAGTTGTGACGACGTTCTCAAAATGAAAATAACAATAATTTCGCATGAAACATAGTTAATTATTGATTTGAATTCCTAAAATACGAGACAATTATTATCACAATTATTTCTACTATTTCCATAAATATTTAATACTTTAACTAATTTGAAATAAATTGAATTAATAAGAACTATGAATATTTTTTTTTCTTTATAGAAACTTTATGAATCAATATTAATTGATTCTTAATTGTAATTTCACTATTTTTTAATTGACGTACTTTTTCAGTAAATAATTGACAAAAAAGTTTGATTTGACAACATTACACAAAATTAACTTACTATTTTCTAGTACTTCCAAAACAATTTTCTATTATTTATACTTATATTACATAATATAATTATTTAGGAGATACAAATATGTAAGTTAATTGCAATAATTAAAATTTAATTTCCTTATTTTTTCTTATTTCATAGAATTTATGCAATAACAATTAAGTTTTTCTTGTTTACAATGAAAATAGCAACAATATTAAATGCAACAATCCAAATTGTCTCTTCATTAAATAATCCAATCACTGTTATTCAATTTCCATTATTTTCGTTTACTTTCTATTATTTTTATGCGGTTTGAATTTAATTAAAGAAAAACCTTTGTTTTTTTATAGTAAATTATTCAAATTTCGGTTTTTGGAACGCGTCGAAATGTATTCAGAATTAATTGTGTGCGTTTATGTGTGTGTAATAGGACGGAACGATCCAGTTTTTTTTTATGATACAAATGATTGTGATGACAAAATTTGGTAATAACGATTCAATGTCGACAAGTTCATTAAAATTGGAAGTAATTACATGAGAAATAAAAACGTAGCTTTAAATAATTTGGAATAAAACGTATGTTATTTAAATAATTTAATAAAGTATGAATAAATTCAAGAGTTAATATTTATTGTAACAATTTATTGATTAGTAGAAATTAGTAATTTTTTCAATTGAAATTTCAGTAATATTAATGGAAATTACAAATTTCTACATTAATTACCATAATCATTATCAATGATTTATTACCATAAAAAAACGATATAAAACAATTCAAACTAATTACAATTAGTTACTTTTAGTACATTTTATATTATTTGAAAATTTACGTGCAATAATCATTAATTGCTATTATCTATTAAAAGTTAATTAAAATTAATGAATTCTGATTAAAAACAGTGAAAATAAATGTATTTTTTGTACTAGGATAAATTATTATAAAAAGAAAAGGTAATTTAATAATTTTTTTTTCATATTTATTATATTGGGTTAATTAATTACATTTGAAAATATATGTTACAGCTAACTAAACGTCAATAGATGCTATTGACGTTGAGAAACTCTGAATTTTGGAACAGCCTTCTAACTAATTACACTTTTATGGTACAAAATTTAGATAAACAAAAAGAACTTCAATAATCGGAGTAGCCGTGAGATTGGGATTGAGCGGAAGCCTTGGCGAGGGCGTCCAAATGGGCGGCTTTGGCCTGTTGAACTTCCGGTGTCTCAGTTGGTACTCCGTTAGCAATCACGGGGATGTGCTGTTCGTAAGCGGGACCTTGCTGCTGCTGATGGTGAGCATAAGTTGGTCTTTGCTGTTGAGAAGAATAAGATTGTTGTTGTGGAGTGTAAGATTGTTGTTGTTGTTGAGTGTAAGTTGGTTGATGTTGAGCGAAGGATTGCTGTTGTGGTACGTAAGATTGAACACGTTGTTGTTGTTGTTGAGGAACGTAAGATTGTTGTGGTACGTAAGATGGAACATGTTGTTGTTGTTGTTGACCGTAAGATGGAGCTGAGTACTTGTTCTCGCGGGCTTCGGCTTGGGCGACGGCGGCGAAGTGGGCGGCCTTGGCTTGCTGCACTTCCAAGGTGTCGACGGGTTGGAAACCGCCGTTGGATTGCACGTGATGCTTAGCAGGGGCGTACTGAGGAGCGGCCTGAGCTGGCGCGGAGTATCCTCCTTGGAATGGAGCAGTTGCGTAACCGTTGCGAGCTGCGGCTTCGGCTACTGCTGCGTAATGAGCTGCCCTAGCCTGTTGGACTTCTTCGGTTTCAATTGGGACACCGTTGGAGATGACCGGGACATGTTCTGGAGCAACATTGTTGTTGTAGTTGTTATTGTTGTTGTAATATTGGGGTTGGTTGTAGATTCCACGACGGTGACGGTACAAAACGTGGTTGTTGCGAGCCAAAGCTTCGGCGTGAGCGGCGAAATGGTTGATCTTAGCGGCAACAACTTCAGGAGTCTCCAGAGGAACAACCGGGGATAATCCGTGAACAACTGGGGAGGCTACAACAGGATGAGCAACATGAACTAAATCTCCATTCCTAAGTTGAGCGTTCAACTTGTGCACTGAATGCTCAGCCCTAGCTTGTTGCACTGCAGCTGTATCAATCGGAACACCGTCAGCTCCGATCACAGCCAAATGCTGTTCACCATAAACCAATGGAGTTACATATCCGGCGGAAGCTGCGGCCAAAGCGCAAGCAAATACAACCTGAAACAAGTAAATAATTAAATGAACGTTTCAAAATAACCCAAATATATTTTTACTCACAAAGAATTTCATCGTGTTCAAAACGTTTCGTTTAACCTCCTTTTAGTGTAGGACTGTTAAGACTGTGCTTTATGGTTGCGGGCGGAGCTCTTTTATAGTAGAACTATTTGGAAGCGTCGACGCCTTCCCAAACCAAAAGAAAAAAAAAACGAACATATAATACATTTCAAGTGCAAAAGGCTCCTTTCACCCAAATCGATTTGGAATTGGTGCAATTCCGGCCATGAATTTATTGTGTATGTGTTTGTCTGTGTATGCGTATTATGGTCATTGTTGTTACACATAGTTTTTATTTTGTAATAAAATTCCCACGTATACATCGAAAAGTATACATATTGTTATCAATCAATCAATAATTCTATTATAATCGATATAAATATAAAAGTTACAATTATTTCAATAAACTATTACTAATTTTTAAAAATGTTAAATGTAATTAAATAACAATTCAATTATAATATACAAATTCAAATTTATCAATTTACAATTATAAGCTAACAACAATAATAGTTTGTGTAAATTATAGAAAAACAGAAATAATTGTAAACAAGTAAAACTGTAATAAAATATAAGAAAAAAGATAAAACAAAACAAATTTAAGTAAGTAATAAGTATTGAAATTAAATTGGAAATAAAATCTTATCTAAAAACAATTATGTAAAACGTTAAGATTCTGATTATGCATGTATAATCAGAATCTTAACGTTTTTTAGAATTATAATTAGAATTAGAATTGTTATCAATCAATCAATAATTCTATTATAATCGATATAAATATAAAAGTTACAATTATTTCAATAAATTATTACTAATTTTTAAAAATGTTAAATGTAATTAAATAAGAATTCAATTATAATATATAAATTCAAATTTATCAATTTACAATTAATAAGCAAAGAAAATATAAATTAGATTATTGAACAAACTGCAATTATTTCAATAAATTATTACTAAATGTTAAAAATGCAAAATGTAATTAAACAAATCAATTTAATTATAATATATAAATTGAGTAAATTTAAGATCGCGGTTGACTGTGAATCTGCTTCTATCCTATTTCACTGTCCATCTGTGATGAACAATGGTCTTATTGCTGCAAGCACCGAAAGGGCTCACAAAGAGCCTGGCTTGACCAGGATTTGAACCTGCTCCCACTAGCTCGTAGGTAGGACGACTTAACCATTCAACTATTAGTCGCCCTACTACAACAAATTAATACGAAATTAAATATTAAAGTAGATTTAAAAATTTGAACTGTATGTTTCAAAGATTACTCGTAATTTGAAAATCGTAAGTTAATATTTATTTTCAAAATTTAACAGAATTAATCAATGAAATTCATGTACTTTTGTATATATTTACAGCTTCAAGTGAACATGGAAAGCAACAAAATAAAAGCTAGGGTCATTAATAATATGATTAAAGTCATATTTTTTTTTATAAGTTCTATTTTTTAAATATGAATAATTGTGTAAATATGAATAATTTAATTTGATAAAGAAAGAACTTGATAAAAGTATGGAAAATAAGGACGGATCATTTAATCTTTTTTTTTTTTGCAATTCATTGATACTACACTAATTATGATAATGCAAATATATACTGAAAATGAAAACTGAAATATGAGAAAAAATAAATGTAACAAGAAAATTTAGCTTTTTATAGAAAATATATATTAAATAGAAAAAATACATCAAATTTACAAGAAATACCTATCTACTAAATGCCTATATATTGAATAAATTTTGTTCTATTTGCAAAATCATGTCTTCTAAATCGTCCTCTGTTAGTAACAATATCTCATCGATTTGTTTCGCATCTTCTTCCGATATTTTGTCTTCCTCTTCTTCCCTCTTGCGTTTCCTTTCCTTCTCTTCATTTCTAGCTTCACGAGCCTTTTCCTCTTTCCGATTTTATGTCTTCTTTCCTTTTTAGTTCCCTTTTCTTTTCTTGATTTTTAGATGCTCGAGCCTTTTCCTCCTTCATCCTTTCCGACTTTTTGGCTTCTTTCCTTTTTAGTTCCCTTTTGTTCTCATCATTTTTATCTGCTCGAGCCTTTTCCTCCTTAACCCTTTCCGACTTTTTGGTTTCTTTCCTTTTTAGTTCCCTTTCCTTCTCTTCATTTTTATCTGCTCGAGCCTTTTCCTCCTTAACCCTTTCCGACTTTTTGGCTTCTTTCCTTTTTAGTTCCCTTTTCTTATCTTCATTTTTAGCTGCTCGAGCCTTTTCTTCTCTTTCGTTTTGCACTTTCCTCATATTCGAAATTTGTAAGTCCAACTCCTTCTCTCTTTCCGATTTTTCTTCCTTCGTCTTCATTTGGACATCACTCTGTTTCTGCTTCTGTTTCATTACCTCCAAAGTTTCCCTCATTTTTCCCTCGTGTTCCTGTTGCAGTAAACTCATTCGTAAATTATATTCCGCTTCTTTTCTGCAACTTTCTTCTTCCATATGGCTTCGTACCACTTTATGATTGTCAGTAGACATAACCCGCTTGATTCGTTCCCTGATATTTGTGAAACCTTCTTTTTAGAAAACAAGTTCTCTGAGGACTTCGAATGCTGTCTTCTGAATTATACCGTAGGTTTTCTCACTTAACTCGTCCACAAATTTAACCGTTTCTGCCACTATTTTACCATTTTGATTTAATACGATATTATTTAACATCTGTAATTGTCTCACCATTGCTACATCCTGCAAATAGTCTCTATTTTCACCCTCTACATACTCTTCAATTCTTCCTTGGATTGATCTAATTTCTTTGTAAATAGACATTTTAATTATCTGGCTGTTGTTGTTACACCAACGAATGTTTGCGATAAACTGTGCTAAACTATTTGCAAAGCCCCAAAGTCTGCTAATTCCTTCATCTTTTTAGCCTTCTCTTACTTATAACCTTTTCCCCAGTTTGTGATAAATTCTCTTCGATTTGTCTCGCTTCTTCTTCCATTAACTTGTCTTCTTCTTCTTTCATTTTGCGCTTCCTCTGCTTCTTTTCAAGAAATAGTAATTATTATATCCATCAAAAATATTGTATCAATTGTTATCAATAAACAATTCTATACTAATCAAAATAACAATTAAGAATTATAAAAAATGACAATGAAATTAATGAAAAACTGTAATTATTTCAATAATACTTTAAACATTCAAAAAATAATTGATGTACGTTTAATTTCCTTCGTATTAGTAAGAATACTTGATACAATTTTAATGTTAATTCATAAATTAATCATTTAAGATTATTATACTTCAATTTAATTCAATTTAAACTACGTTTATATTAAATTATTTCAACAAAAAAATTGTTACACTTTTAAAGGTACAAACTCAAAATTTATGAAAATATAAGTAGTATTTAGAAACATTTCATTTGAAAATGAACGTGTTTACTATAAATTTATTTGCAATGTTCATTTCATTTGAAATTATTAAATGTTTCTATTGGGAAAAGTTAGAAACTTTTACAAATATTATTTGAAATTTACATTTTATAAACATATTTTCACTAATACTGAAAACGCTTCAATTGAAATTTATACTTAACTAAACAAAAAAAACTTTGAAAATTTAATATATTTGAACTTTATGAACAGATGTTTAATTATTAGTATAAAATATATAAATAAGTGTATAAAGTTTTATAAAATTTCAAATTTGAAACTAAAGTGAAAATATTTCAATTAATCAGAAATAATATAAGTAAACAGAGTTCTGCACGAGTCGTGTTAGAAATTGGACGTGTCTGAATTGCCGTATCTTATCAGTAAATAGTTTCTCTGTGTTTTTTACTTATCCTCGTGTACCGGCTCTTCGGCGGCCTGTGTGGGGCTGCAGCTTCTTCTTGGGGGTGGTGATGGAGATGAAGATGGAGATAGAGAGCTCGGACGGTTTGTCCTGCTGTTCCGAGCCCACGGGGGACGTGTGGGAGCAAGGCAAGCGAAAGCGGGACAGGCCGAAAAACAAAAACATCGAAAATAAAAAATCATCACAAAAAAAAGTACTCGAATCCAACGACGATGATACTTTTAAAACTCCAACGAAAATTACAAAAACTACATCTGCTCAGTCTTCGATTTCACAAACCACTAGAAATACCTACACTATTACCTTCGTGGTAAAAACCGCAACAAATATGACCAGGACCAAAATCGCTTGGTCCAAAAACCCCTGCAACCGTTCAGATGTTGTAATACTCACCAAATCAGGGTTTCTGATGAAATCAAAGACGTGCAAAATAACAGTAATTGCCTACCTCAGAGATATGCAGGGCAGAGACATTATAAGCAGCCATTCAGAGAGTGTTTCTCCTAAGTTACCAAACATCTCTATTCTGTGTCCTCATCAGAGTTGATCAATTATCGTTACTGTAAACGAATAACATCATCACTGGTTGTACGACATCATACGAAAAACTTTTACAAGAAGGACTTTTCTATGGAAACAGTCACTTCCCAGCTGAGGAGAATATTTCACCTTCAGTACCTGTGCCATGTGGACGATGCCAAAAGTATACACATTCCAATGAAAAATGCCCCAATATAACTATATGCAACAAGTGCCAGGGACCTCATCCGACACACAGATGCTCTTCGCCGTTACCGCCTAGGTGTGCGGCATGCAATTCGGAGGACCATGCGGCTTGGTCCATGAAGTGTCCAAAGGGACCCACACGACCTATTCAGGGTATTCCAAACGCTAAAATCAAACCTACAAATAAGAAAACAGCAGAAATCCCCGAAGCCATCTCCAAGGATAGCAGGATCCATGGTGCGTTAACAATCCATGACTATATAGTTAATACCTTTACGAACAAACTCAATAACCCCAAGCATTTGGACCGTGCCGCACTGGTTCAGAATCTAAAAAAACGATTTGTAAATGATTTCCACGTGGACACCCACGTGTGCTTCTCGGGGAACTATTTGTACATTTATATGTTCGACCAGGACAATCCAGGTCATGAGTCGCCCAAATTATCTACACAGGGCACAACTAAATCAATTCCCTTGAATGGTAGCAGCCTCCGTGTCTTATATTCCAACATAATTTTCTTTC